GGTCTCCAAACTTGGCAACTTTAAGACTTGTGGACTTCAATGCCCAGAATTCTCCAGCCAGAACTTTAAGACTTGTGGACTTCAACTCCCAGAATTCTCCAGCCAGAACTTTAAGACTTGTGCACTTCAACTCCCAGAATTCTCCAGACAGCTTTGCTGTCTGGAGAATTCTGGGAGTTGAAGTCCACAAGTCTTAAAGTTGCCAAGTTTGGCGACCTCTGCTGTACTGCATACCCAGCTCGGTTTCGCAACTCTTGCTGGACTTCAACCCCAACCTCCCACCCACCCACCTCCGCCATCAGCCAAAGGACGGTGGGAGTTGAAGTCCAACGGAGCTCTCTCGCGCCAGCCCACGAGAGGCTCCCACAACTCCTTCCACGCGGACCCTTGCCACCTTCCACACGCCTCTGGCCCTCGTCTTTGCGCGGGGGGATACCTTGCACTACGAGGGCTTCACGTCTGCCCGGCAGAGCCTCGTCCCGGCTCGGCATCTGCATGCTCCCCGGCATCGCGGCGGCGCGCCAGAACCCCCTGGAAGAAGCCGCCCACCGTCCACGGGTGACCCGGTCGCCCCTTGGCTGAGCCAGCGGGCGGCGCGGGATCAGCTGGGGTGGGCGGGGACGAGGGGGAGGGAGGGCGTGACGTAGGCTTTGGGGGGCGGGGCTCTTGGCCTTTGCAGGGCGGGGAGGGGAGGGGGGGAGAGAAACGCCAGGAATAGGAAAGCTTGCGCAGCGTTGGCATCCAGGTGGCATTCCGACGCACGTCTAACTCGCTTCCCCCCCCCCCACGCGAATCCTTCCTTGTAAAACCTACGTAAGACTGGGGATGCGCCTAGCATCTTGGCTGGCTTGCTCCGCTTTAGGCAAAGGGGAGGCTTGCGGTTGCAAGCCTATATAGGTCACCTCGGCATGAAACCTTCTTTAATTCAGAGGAGGTTTTTTTGCAAGATCCAATCGGGGATCGGTCCCCGGGACCAGAGATTTAGGCTTCCGAGCTCCGATAACAGATCGTCAGAGTCGGAAGGGACCTTGCAGGGTCATCTGTTTTTGTTTTTTTTAATTGATTCGCTTAATTTTGTCAAAAGCTTACAATACAGTAGAAAGAAGAAGAATTTTATTTTTTATTTATTTCATTTGATTTGTCAATTGCTTACAAGATAATAGGTATAAGAATAAACGTAGTTATGAATACATGAAGTGGATACATATAAGAAAAATAAAAGAAACAATAGGACAGGGATGGTAGGCACCTTGATGCACTTATGCATGCCCCTTACAGACCTCTTAGGAATGGGGTGAGGTCAATAGAGGTTAGTTTGTGGGTAAAGGAGTGGGGGTTTGACCAATGGACAAAGTCCAATTCCCCCCCCCCAAAGCGGGAGACCCTACACCATTTCTGACAAATGGCAGTCCAATCTCTTCTTGAAGGTCTCAAGGGATGGTGCTCCCACAACTTCCAAAGGCAACTTCTGTTCCATTGGTTGATTTTCTCACTGTCAGAAAGTTTCTCCCTATTTCCAGGTTGAATCTCTCCTTATTCAGTTTCCATCCATTATTCCTTGTCTGGCCTTTGGGTACTTTAGAAAATAGCTTGACCCCTTCCTCTCTGTGGCAGCCCCTCAAATATTGGAAGACTGCTATCATGTCTCCCCTGGTCCTTCTCTTCCCTAGACTAGCCATGCCCACTTCCTGTAACCGTTCTTCATAGCTCATCCTCAGGGAACTAGAAATTTATTTTATAGGTAATAATACTTTATTATCATTGTACATATATACACAGTATACACATACAATGAAATTCACATAATGCCCAGAGACCAGACCCAACACACACGCACACACGACATTCCCCAAACACCCACCAACCCACCAAAATTCCCCGCCCCCTAAAAACACACAAGCATCCACACAACAGACCAAGTAATACTGTCCAACAGCTCACTGATGGTGGTCCTTAAGTTCATTGTTAAGTGCAATTATAACTCTGGGATAAAAAAAAACTGTTTGAAAAATGTGTGGTCTGAGTTTTAATTGTTCTGAATCTTCTGCCAGAAGTCAACAATTCACAAAGATTGTAAGCAGGATGGGAAGAGTATCTGAGAATAGGTTGACAGACAGACAGACAGACAGACAGACAGACGGATAGATGATAAAATTATTTATTGGCCAAGTGTGATTGGACACACAAGGAATTTGTCTTGGTGCATATGGTGCATATGGCTTGGGACCAGGTTATCAAAGGGAATATCTCTTGCCGGTCACATCTACCCGACCCATTAGAGCAGGGCCTATTTCCATCCTGGCTGCAGGAGGGATGGGGTGGGGTAAAGGAAGAGGCCTAATCTACCCAGGAAGAAAATGTACCTAAGAGGAAACCCTTGGCCCAGGAGGATAGGTCTCAAATTTTGTAGGGAATCTTCCATTTTTAATTACATTAGGTTTTGTATAAGCTTGGTACTACCATAAATTTGTGTTTTCCCTTTCTCATTTGTCCGTATTTTATCAAGGATCCTTAATATCCCATAGTTTATTGATGGAACTCCTGGAGTCAATTGTTTTCCAAAGTTTCTCAAATTCAACAGAATAAATTTGTCCAACAAAGTAGATGAAACTGGTTTTGGTAGCTGATGGTTCAGTGTCTTATGGAGACAAAGCCAGGGTCTACTTATGTGGTGTGAATCAGGCGATGAGACTCAGGGGTGGGCTTCAAAAAATTTAGCAAAGGGTTCTCTGCCTGGTTGTTGGGTTGGTATCGCCATGATGGGCGGGGCCTAGTCAGCCTCCTGCACCATAGTGTGTGTGTGTGGGGGGTTGCCCTCCCCGGGCTCCTGAGGTTTTCCTCGAGGCTCTGGGAGGGCGAAAGGGGCCTCCTCAGGCTCCAGAGGCCCTCTGGGAGCCAGAAACGGGCCCATTTCTGGCCTTCCCAAACTTCCTGGAGGCCCGTTTTTGCCCTCCCTGAGCCTCCACACACATCCTGCACTTACCTGCATCTAAAATGGGCCACATGGGGACTCCTGGGAGGGAAGGGGAGGGATCAGTGGGGTCAGCCAGGAGTGGGATTTGGGGGTCCTCCGAACTGCACAGAATCTTAGGGGCTCTTCCGAACCCCCAGCAGCCCATCCCTGATGAGACCCAATCCCTAATGTGTTTGCTTCATCACAGTGTGTGAAGCGATGGCAGCAGTTGTGCTCTGTTAATCCAGATTTAGGCTTTTGAATGCCCTGAGATACACTGCTGAGGATATATCTTAGGTGAACCAATCCGAGGCCCTCAATCTAATCTTGAATGGCATTCATCCTCATTCCTCTGCCACTTGGCAGACTTTCCAAAGCCCACTGCAAGGGGATTGCTTCCCATTTTGCTCTTTTGCCAATAGATCCCTGTTGGCAAAAGACCTTGGCTTGCCCTGACCTTACCCAAGGCTGATTTGAGCAATGCACCACCAGCAAGCACTGCCCTAGAGGGAATCCTGAAGGAAATGCAACCCTTGTCAGGAGGAAAAAAAAATGTCCAGCCTGAGTTTTGCAAATAGAATTAAGGGGTTAGAGGCCGACTCTTGGAACACAAGATAAAGACTCCCTCACCTACGATTTAAACACAAGGATGAGGTTTACAAATCATCATAAGTCAATGTCTTAACCATGGCTTGTGGAACAAGCCACAGTAGGGTTATTACTAGAATGCAATAGATCCTGATTTACATAGGCCACACCTGTTTTTTTTAACTTGATAACTTTAGGATGAAGTAGCTGAGGAATTCTGGGAGATGAAGTCTACTCAACTTAAAGTTTCTGGCTGGAAAAACATCGCATTACATCAGTCCCAAATCAAAAGAAATGTTTTATATGTGGAGTAAGTATGGGAATCCAGAATGGAATCTGCTAAGGAAATCTCTGAGTCAAGAAAGCCCTGAAATGAGTGTCCTTTGCCCAAATACAAGGACGAATTATTCCACTACTCATTTGGTTGTAATGCTTTATGGCAAGAGCCACCTGCATTGGATCGTACCCAGGGTCAAAACTTAGGTCTGTAGAAATGGAGTGATAGGTTATTCCATTGCAATAAGGCAGCTGTCTCCAAACTTGGCAACTTTAAGACTTGTGTACTTCAACTCCCAGAATTCCACAGCCAACATTTGAATCCCTACTGCAGGAGGCTGGGGAATTCTGGGAGTTGAAGTCCACAAGTCTTAAAGTTGCCATGTTTGGCGTTCAAATTCATAGTGCTTCCCGATGGAAAAAAAAAACACCTTTGGTAATATTCGAATTTAGAAAGCTCAGTTTGCAGGGACTCTTCCATCGTGGGAATCCAATGATCTGCAAACCAGAGTTTATGTCTTAGCATATCGTTGTTATGGACTGATTTTTATATCTGCAGTCTATTGCTGGAGGCCAGTATATCCAACTTACTCAGGTTGACCCAACTTGGCAATGATTGAAATCCTCAGGTGTTCCTTGCATTGACATTGTTCAAAATGACAGGTGATCCACTGTTTTGTTTGGCATAAATTAGTCTGCCCAGGAAGATAGTGAGAAAAGATCCATTGTTGAATAAAAATGTTTAGCATTCTCCCCCCCCCCCCCCCATGCTAAAAAAAAATATGAAAGTGACATGGAATCGGCTCTGCTTTGTGGCCCATACAGCAGTCAGCTAAAGCTAGAGGACTCCATGTTTATTAGGTTCTCCAGTAATATTTGACACATCATTGAAATGTATAAAGAAAACTCCATGGGGATGGATGGCTCTCTTTGCAGCAGGAACAACTGTGTCATTAAAAGGATCCCTCAGTGGGGAAATGACTTTTGTAGATTAAATTGCAGGGGAAACTATACGTGTGGGAGGGGAGGAGAAGAGAAGCTTAAATTCAAATGATTACGGCTGCTGAGAATGAATTAAAATCGCAGCACACACAATTTAGGTCACAATCAACATGTCCTGAAAATGATAATAGGAAGAGAGAGAAGAACCAAATGGGAGAAAGAAGGCGGGTGGAAAATTGGGGTAGCAAGTCGATTTAAACTCTTAATCAAGTTGGCTCCTTTGCGCCTTCAGTTTTCATGTTTCTCCTTCCACATCATCCATTCTCAAGGATGAGATTTGCCTTTGCACAAAATGCTGCACACAAAATGCTGCACGGTGTTGACAGAAATTAGTTTGGATGGAGGGATGGTTAGAAAGCCACGGTAACAGAAATTTCCTGATAGTGAGAACAATTAATCGGTGGAATGAGTTGTCTCCTGAAGTTAGGGTTGCTCCAGCACCGCAGTTTTTTTTTTAACAAGATATTGGACAACCATTTGTCTGAAATGATACAGGGTTCTCCTGCTTGAGCAAGGGGGTGGACTAGAAGACCTCCAAGGTCCCTTCCAACTCTGTTATTCATTGCTTTCATCAGAAGGAAATGGACTCAAACCAGCTTCAAGGTTTGTGTGATTGGATCTTCTGTTTAAGTTGCATATCCGTCTCCACCATTGGAAGTCTCAAAATATCTAGTGGCTCCCGAGATGCTTTTTTTTAAAAAGCTGGAAGAGTGTGGCCTAAGCTGAACCATTTTCAAAAAAGGATGTTTTGTATTTATTACGCCAAAATCATCCATCCATCCAGAAGAAGG